CCAAACCACGCCGGCAAAACGCTGCCGCTGCGTGTGACGGTCGCAGCGGTGCAAAGTACGGAGTCGGTGCCTTTACTGTACGCGGGCACGCCCACTCGCACAGCACCTGCACCCCGTGGCACAGCGCACAGGCCACGTGCACCCCACTGCACACCGTGCACCCCACGTGCACCGTCACACACTCCACATGCACCCCATAGACCCCACTGCCCACCTTGCACCCCATATGCACCCTGTTGTGCACACCTTGCACCCCGTAGACCCCACTGCACGCCTTGCACCCCACATGCACCCCGTAGAGCCCACTGCACACCGTGCACCCCACGTGCACCGTCACACACTCCACATGCACCCCATAGACCCCACTGCCCACCTTGCACCCCATATGCACCCTGTTGTGCACACCTTGCACCCCGTAGACCCCACTGCACGCCTTGCACCCCACATGCACCCCGTAGAGCCCACTGCACACCGTGCACCCCACGTGCACCGTCACACACTCCACATGCACCCCATAGACCCCACTGCCCACCTTGCACCCCATATGCACCCTGTTGTGCACACCTTGCACCCCGTAGACCCCACTGCACGCCTTGCACCCCACATGCACCCCGTAGAGCCCACTGCACACCGTGCACCCCACGTGCACCGTCACACACTCCACATGCACCCCATAGACCCCACTGCCCACCTTGCACCCCATATGCACCCTGTTGTGCACACCTTGCACCCCGTAGACCCCACTGCACGCCTTGCACCCCACATGCACCCCGTAGAGCCCACTGCACACCGTGCACCCCACGTGCACCGTCACACACTCCACATGCACCCCATAGACCCCACTGCCCACCTTGCACCCCATATGCACCCTGTTGTGCACACCTTGCACCCCGTAGACCCCACTGCACGCCTTGCACCCCACATGCACCCCGTAGAGCCCACTGCACACCGTGCACCCCACGTGCACCGTCACACACTCCACATGCACCCCATAGACCCCACTGCCCACCTTGCACCCCATATGCACCCTGTTGTGCACACCTTGCACCCCGTAGACCCCACTGCACGCCTTGCACCCCACATGCACCCCGTAGAGCCCACTGCACACCGTGCACCCCACGTGCACCGTCACACACTCCACATGCACCCCATAGACCCCACTGCCCACCTTGCACCCCATATGCACCCTGTTGTGCACACCTTGCACCCCGTAGACCCCACTGCACGCCTTGCACCCCACATGCACCCCGTAGAGCCCACTGCACACCGTGCACCCCACGTGCACCGTCACACACTCCACATGCACCCCATAGACCCCACTGCCCACCTTGCACCCCATATGCACCCTGTTGTGCACACCTTGCACCCCGTAGACCCCACTGCACGCCTTGCACCCCACATGCACCCCGTAGAGCCCACTGCACACCGTGCACCCCACGTGCACCGTCACACACTCCACATGCACCCCATAGACCCCACTGCCCACCTTGCACCCCATATGCACCCTGTTGTGCACACCTTGCACCCCGTAGACCCCACTGCACGCCTTGCACCCCACATGCACCCCGTAGAGCCCACTGCACACCGTGCACCCCACGTGCACCGTCACACACTCCACATGCACCCCATAGACCCCACTGCCCACCTTGCACCCCATATGCACCCTGTTGTGCACACCTTGCACCCCGTAGACCCCACTGCACGCCTTGCACCCCACATGCACCCCATAGACCCCACTGCACACCTTGCACCCCATATGCACCCTGTTGTGCACACCTTGCACGCCCCCCACGCTGTGCATGCCCCATCATACACCGCACTGCGCCCCTGCTCACCTGGGGCCTGGTTGCCCACCGTCCCCACCGACTCTCCCGGCCGGTGTCAGCGGCGCGGTGACGCGCAGGAATTCGCGGTGGCTCAGGGCCGGAGCCCGGCGTCAGCGGCCGCGCTGGGAAGGCCGAGGCATTTGCACGGAGACGCCCCCGCGCTGGACCACGTCCTCCTCGCGCTTTAGGAAGGGAATTCCAGGGGAC